ATCAGTATCTTGATCTTGTAATAAAATTCAGTTTCGATCTAAAAATGTCTTACCTACTGGCGAATACAGAATACCCCAACGATTATTCGACTAACTTCATTAGAAATTTCTGCTCTTTCTTCGTCCATGTTCCAACGACAAAATGAAGAATTTATCGAATCAAGAAGTTGTTAGAATGATAAGATAAGGTCATATAAAATAATGGTTATCGTGTTCTTTCGTCATTACAAATTAAACGCATTCAAAGAGTTGACAAAAAATTTGCTATAATCACGTTAAAGCTCTCTTGAAACCATGCTATACTTGATAAAAACATTTTCGATCGGACTGCTAATAACAGAGTAATCTCTACTGATCACGATTCGTGGTTCACCTTGTATGTATAATTCAGGTATTGAGGGCAAGAATTATTTGGGCACTGTGTATCGAAATGAAATTCCAATTTGGAAAAGGCAACGGTCGCAGTTTCCTGGAGCTGTTTAGCGTGGGAGTGTTGTGTTCACAGCGTCATCGGCAATAAAACCATCGCAATCGGGGTAACAGTACGGGATGGAGAACGGAATGGAGATCCGTGACTCATGAATCTCCGCTAGTTGCTTCAGGCGGTGTTACCTTATGGAAAAGCGTACACACACATTCCATGTCTCTCTTTGCAACACACACGTTCGGACTTTTCTGCTCCTCGTCCAGAATCTTATTTACCTTTCTCGTTTGCCCGCACTTTGAGCTCGCGTATCTCTTTCATTGCACCCTTTGCCTTTTTTGGCCATTCCTCCTGCAGCTCGTTTCTCGTTTCTACATACACGAGTCGAGTGGTTTTTTTATTCGGTTTAGTTTTCAATCCAGTAATTTTTCGTTAGGATTGTCTAAAATTAATTAAATTACAATGAGCCTTTTTATATGATAATGTGAAGTAATGTTAGAAAATTCATAAGAATGCCAAATGATGTCCCCATAGTAATTGTTTGTTATATAACATTAGACATTATATAATTTAGGTAGTGTTTAGTTATTTAGATGAATATTATTGGAGGACAGTATTTGATTCGATATGTACGTCTTTGAGCTTTCAAAGAATTGTGTTTCGCTTTATACTCTCTAGTCAAAGAGATCGTCAATTCTTCAAATTTATTTGTTCAACTGGTTCCCCAAACAATAATTCTCTTTATTCCACGAGTGTCCTTCTGGTCTAATGTCTTTCCATTTGCATTAATTATCACTCATAGATGAAGATTACATCTGAGAGCTACTGTGCCTCATTCATTCATAACAATAAAAAATTTTCCACTGTACTTGTAACACAAGTTTATTGTAACAGTACAAACGTACCTGGGGAACAGGTGTTTTTCGAATAATAGACGTGAAATGTGTTCTGTATGATAAACGATGATAACAGTGGTTGATATACAGTGTGTACTTTCCTGCGATCCAGGCCATGTCGTGGACACTTTAATGCTGGTTGACCTTCGATCGTTCTACGAATTAACGTATTGTTTAACGGCCAGGAGTTTTGAAATGGTAAAATTTAGCGTGAGCCATCCGTCTAGTATCGAATAATTAACAAAGTCGTAGCTGACGTAAAATACAGTTTTTAATTAATGGTTGAACGCTACTTCATTCTAATAGTAACATTCAGTATACTAAAAAAAAAGAACACATAGAACGTAAACAAAAGAATTATTTTAAAAGTACAGTAAGTCAAAATTCAAAGCCAATACAAGATGTAGCAAGATGCTGGAAAAACTACGTCGATCTATGATCCTTTTAATATTCTATTTAAATAAAAGGAACACACATCGAATATTTTTCGTGAATGTGAAAAAGAATTGTTTCTTATTTTACATCCAGAAGAATTGATTTCATAACCAATGACGATAGTGTTTCTTTTACTCTTCTCGTGGAGTATTATAAACCCCAATGGTCGAAGACTACTTTCTTTTAACACCCCGTATACGATTTATGTTAATTCCGTGACGGAATTCATTGGCCTCCGGCGAACTTTGGGGGATCGGCGAACCATAAGCCTTTGGCTTCGCCTGCGATCGGTCGATGAGTAACCATGGGAGACCAAGGCCGCACCGTCTAGCTCGATAAATTCCACTGACATCAAAAAAACGCGATTGTTTGTTTGTATGCACATTACAGCCGCCTTATTATTTTCGCATGCATCGGGATTCATATCGTGACATCGTGTTCATAGATCATTCAGTTAAACTGAAAACCATTTCTACGAACTGCGAGTGCAGTTTGTTCTTCATCCGTGTCGTGCAGAACGATCGATCATTGGATTAGCGTTCTGATCCTAAAGGATGATTGGAGTACCGCGAAATTGATTCGTATCTAATCGTTACTCAGTTGCAAGAATACATTTTTTTTAAATACACTAGATAAGTTGGATTATATTTTGCAATTCAGAACGAACATTGATAGTTCAATTCCCTTTTTGTTTACGTAATTAAAAGGAAGATACAGAACTACAGGATTGCTTAAATTCGTGGCGATTACGCAAACCTTGTGTGCTATCAGAGATGGGCAAATTCATTATCTAGATAAAGAGTTTCGAATAACAAATAATAGATAAAAACAAGTACTTCGCAGTTTTAATTAATTAAACGGGGAAATTTCAATTTTTACAATAAAATAATATTTGTTCTTGAATGATAGATACTTGATAAGCAATTATTTAATCTATTTAACTATTTAATGTACTGCCACTTTCATTATGTATTATTCGAATAATATTCTGCCAATTTCTGTATGCTATTCAAGTAACTACATATTGCATACGCATTCGTTACGTAATATTGAGCCAAAAAAAAAAGTTCCAATTACGAAAATGTGTTACGTTACGTCTACAGTCATTAGTAAAAGTATATTCACCACATTCACATTTCCAAAATAATCCCTGCATTCTTACGTTATAAAAATTTCTGCACTTTCAATTACAACAAATTTTCGAATAATTGCTTTACTACAGTGTTCATATATTATAAGAGACTCGAAAGAGCAAATACTTTGTATACTCAACGTAAATTATTTAAATATGAGTTCTTTAAAAATTATTTAATATAACAAATAATCGAAAACAAATGTCTGATTTCGATTCAAACCTAGTCCGAGCAGCTTAGCGTGGTTAAAACGGAGCAACTAGAAAAGAAAGACGAGAATTCCAGTGACCTGGATATGCATATACCCCGGATTCGCAGCCAAAAAGTCAATTTCCTCCTCGTTCCCGTTTCGCCCGGTCAAAATGCAAGATTTGTGTCTGGCCGCGTCCCAACCTTTTCCAACCTTTGCGATGATGAAAGTCTGTCCCGGAGCTTTTGTTTCGATCCTGCACCGTTACGAAACCCCTCGAACAATTGTCCTTTCACTGGACCTCACGTGGTCGAACTTCGTCGCTCGTAAATTTTCCGAGGCTGAAGAGCTAGCCGTGAGTCACCTGGAGATCTCTTTAAAATTCGTCGAATGACGTCCACGGTGAAACGACACGTGGCGGTTTCGACGAATGGAATGCTCGACAGGATCCTGTTCTTTCATACTTTTTGTGTTTCTTTTTTTTTATATTTTGTTCATGGACGTTTGTGGTAGCCTTCGTAGGTCGATCGCGATACCTCGAGGTCGGAGTTAGTCAAGCGATTCCAGCGGTGATTTAACGAAACGGCGTTGTGGCTCGCCACCGATTTGTTTGTTTATCGATTAGAAATTCTTACACCGCATTGTGTGTATACCAACATCCGACACGGTATTTGCTGAATCGTGTCTTTTAGCTGAGCGAATAAAATGAGTCACAGCATTTGAATTCTATTAATCGGTACGTGACTACTGATTACGTTTCATTTTTATATATTCGATGAGATCATTTCCATATATATTCGAGATGTAGGAAAGAATTGTACGAACAGAGTTGGTTACACCTTGTTTTCTCGATGAAATTTTCCATGAATCACTGCGTACAGGTCACGTGCAGTGTGTTGCAACCGAAATCTGGAGTTTCTTAGTATAATTAGACCCGGAGAATTAGCGGAGTAAACGATGTCTCGCGCTAAATTTCGGAATACCATTAAACTTTCAGTTAAACCCGAAATAGGAAGGCCATGAATAATACTGATTATTACAAATTTCATATAGAAATGTATTTCTTAACTCTCAACTTCATTCATTTACTTACATATTTTAGTAACCATATTGTAGAAACCAAAAACTTCTAGTAGGCTCTAACAAATTTATAATTTGCAATGGTATCTTGTATTAGTAACTCATCTTGATATTATTTTGTCACTGTTATCTGAATATCATTTGTAAGAAAAATTGGAGTCGTTTACGACAACGTTTTGGTAAGGAAACAGTTCGCAACTTCCTTACAAACATCTCAATTAACAATACGGTTCTATGAAACGAATTCTCGGTAAACAACGCAACCACGAGTAATGCTCAATGTTAAAAAAATGTGATAAAAGTATACGTACACTCAGAATTAACGACTGGTACCTAATAACACTTTACCAGTAAACGCAGACGTGAACAAAAAGTATTGTTACAAGTGTGGGTGCTCATATATGAATGTATACGTGTATATCTTTTAAATTCGCAATCAGAGTAACCATCGTGTGCCTTCAGTCCATTCCGATTCCATTTGGTTCTATTCTTCACTGAGTTTCCGTTGAATAATTCTATAACGATCTGAATTTTCCACAAATATATTAAAAACAGTAATAAGTACATACTATGAATATTAACCAACAAAGAACGGTACTAATATTTTTCACAAGAACGTATTCGTTGAAAGAAGTGCTTAAGTATTCCAGAAACGGCGTCAAATCGTGTACAACGTATTTATTACGAATCCAATTAGATTCCCAGTTTACAGTAGGGTTTACTAAGTAGGCTATCGCGAAAAAGTAAAAGGCGACCCGGCACGCGCGAGTGGCCTGGCAAATTGGCTTTTCATCGATTTCTTTTAATGGTGTTAACATTCTCTCTGTTTTGTTGCGACACAGAGTCTAGAGCAAGAGAGGCACCTGCTCCGTAGGCGGCTCGAGGAAGTCAAGGGCGAGAGCGAAGCCAGAGCTTTGGAGCTTCAGGCAGACGTGGAGACGCTCAGGAGCCAGCTTGAGGAGCAGAATGAACGGGCGAGAAGAGCGGAACGGGATCAGGCGACCCTCGTTACGGAGCTCACCGCCCAAAACACGAGGTTCGCCGATCAGCTGAGAGAAGCCGCGAAACAGGAAGAACAGCTGCTCATCGAGGTCAAGGTGCTCAGGGAAAAGTGTGCTATCAGGAGTACCACGCTCCAGGATCACGTCAGCAGCCTGGAGGTTCTCAGGGACGAGGTAAATTAACAGTTTCCGTCTACGACGTTGCTCAAACTTTCCGCGAAAGCCTCGAAACACTCGTGTTCCGTGGAGTGGAATGCTGTTGGCAGGCTGGTACATACGCGAATATTTTTTAGTAGTGATCGAATCCTAGGTGCTTTGATCGGGATGATTCATAAAATTGTGAGTCATCGTTATTTTATCGAATAGAGAGGTGCGTGTGTTTATTACAGACCTGGGCATTTCCGAAGTGATATTATTTGAAATATTATTTCAAATAACATGGTATTCTATTTTCTAGTCATTTGAAATAATTCTTAGAAATAATTAACAATTATTTTCGACTCTACAAATATCCGAACATCCGTAGCTTCAGGTACTGTAATATCATCAGTACCTAAGAAACTTCCACAGGACTTTTTAGAAAACCTTAGAATCGATTACTATCCACTGTAACCTATTTCTGAGGTGCTTCTACCTTTGCAAGTACCCGAATACTTTCCATTTCAACTACTCCAAAACTAAAAGCACCGAAATCATGCATAAAAACATTTAGGTCCACGTTCGAATTGACCAGAATCAAATCCAAGGTATATCTCCGATAATTCCCGATTTCACACATACACCCGCACCCAGTTATTTATTACGCAACGATCTTTGTGAGCCGAAGAGAATTCGTGTCGAACGATTGTCTGGAGAACTGACCCCGTTTTTCTATCTCCGATCGTAGATTACTCCACAAAATTATTCTGGGAACTGCGTTTACCGTTGCATCGCGGACATTGTTAGTTGAAGCTGAATATTTATGATTCGCGCGATATCGAATGATTATTTCCCCCGTTTTAACGAATAGGACCCGGAGAAACGCGAACCGTGAGAAGCGTTCGGGTGGAGCGAGCGTAATCGTGACCCTCGACGATCGACTCAAACTCGCCGTCCTTCGACGATACGCCCTTTGTTCTCCCCTTACAAGAGACGGCGACGACGGCGGCGCGTTCTCGAATTTCCGGAAATGCTCTTCACGCATGAATTAAGTGCTTGATGCACGGTTACGCTGTCTTGCGTGTTGCGTCGGATGTTATTGATTATGCCACCGAACGCTGAAAAAACTGAAATGTCTTCGTAGAGGCGAAATGTTGGTGTTTTCCGTTTCAGGAACTGGGTCGTAGGAAATCGTCATAAACAGATCGGTTACAGACTGAGATAAATAAGAGAAATAATATTTCCGTATGAAGAAATAGTAAATAGCTTTGTTACGTGTAAGGAGGAGAGGAACAAAGGACATGACACTGAATCGATCCACGTTAGGCTATCGTGCACTAGTCTTTGGACAATTGATGAAATCTGAGCCAAAATCATATGTCGTTATTGTAATATGATCACTTTGAAATGTAATTGATACCAATTGATGATACTGATTCTCATTCAAGTTTGTATACTACTTTCATCGTTCAATATTAACACTTTCACTGTTATATCATCCAGATAATGGTGATACATCTCTATCATCGAGGTTCAGGAATTAATTGTTTGGTCGAGAAATGTTTCTATCTACAGTGCTTGCATACCTGAAGATTACCCCACGATTACAGGGAGACATTCAAATCGTACTATCACCTCTGTTCTATTCTTCCAATCAGGACTTCTCTTAGGGGGTGCAACATAATCACCCTTCCCCAATTAACAAACAAACCAAACGTATCAATAACGTCGAAAATGTTACTAAACACGTGTTCACGCACGGGATGGTATCCTATGCTGTCAACAGCAGTTCATAAGTGGATTGTTAGAGGCCAACAAAGTCGAGTCGAATAAAACGCGAGCCTGTTAAAGTTGGACTTGTTGGCGTTCCAGGTGCAGCTCGTGTCCGCGCAACGAACAGAATTAGAGAGGAGGTCCTTGGAGCTACGGGAGGAGAGGGCGAGGGCTATGGCGGCCCTCGAAGAAGCCGAGGAGAGAGCAGCGGCCTTGGAGCGGCTCGGCCACGAGGCGGAACACCGGGCGAAGTTGGCCGAACGGGAGAGGTGAGTCCCTGTGATTCGACGCCAGCTTCTTAACCCCTTGCCCTACGATTTTCTTGACGACTGCATACTCCAGGATTACACCGTTGCCGATAGTTTCCCAGAAACGAAAAGAATTCTGTACTTATCACAACTGTATATTTACTGTAAAAGTTCAATATTAATGCCAGCAACGTGGCATTTCACTTCGACTCAAAGAAAACTCAAGAAATATTCCCCGTGAACGCAACCACTGATCCCCGATAAACGTGGATTCTGGTTGTTTCTTCACCGTGGAGAACACGGATCGATGGTCCCGTTCGATCATTCACGAACAATCCATGGAAATTGGTCTTCTGGTTAAGGGGGTTGCTCTGTCGGAAGACTCAAAAAAATGTGTTGTAATTTCAAATAAACCGGATCATAAGTTTTGGAGTTATTTATAACGTCATGAGACTACTGGCTTTTTTAAAGGCCGATATGAATTTCATCTCGAAACATTGCCTACTTGTTCCCTGTAACTCCTAATCAATTATCACTTACCAGTTCCATAAAAAGGGACTTCAAAAAGTGTCTGTTTTTGGGTGTTTACGCAGAGCCAACCCCCTTAAGCCTTCTGCATTTCAGTAAAGCGGAGTGCGGTAGACAATATATTCGTCCCCGTCCTCGATTGCATTTGCGATAGAATGCAACGAAAGTGTGTTACATGAACTTCTTAATAACTATGTCACACGTGATAAAACACGGTAGACATAGACCTACGTCGCAGTTATGATAATAATACCTGGTACTAAGCCTTTAGCTATGGCGGGGCTGGCCAAAAGTAGCTATAAAAGTAGTATTACAGTTCTGGCTATGAATATGCACTTTTTCGCATACAGGGTATACCTTTCATTATCACTATTCATCGTTATGCTGAGAACGGTGAAATACTTGTCCATTTGTTTCGCGCAGTAAATAAATCAATGTGATTACCGTCGGTGGCTATCCGACGATTCTTAATGAACTGTATAGCCCGAAGTAATTATAGTGGACATGTGGTTCTGAGCAATCGGTTCACAGGAAGTCATTATAGTGGCGGGTATTTGCTATAGAGTCAATAATTGACAACTGATCATTATCCATTTCAATTACTAACGATATTATCAAACATTAACGCTTGATTTTTCGAGTCGATGTCGAGCTGATTTTGAAAGTGGAGAAGCCAAAGAATTTTTGTATACAATAAATTCCAATCGTTCACGTACCAAATACCATATTACAAAAGTCTTAAGCGTCCAACAACGCACTACCATATGACCCGTAAACGATCGCCGTCAAAGACCGCGCTAAACGCAATTTAACCTCCACGATCGTAACAAGAACCGAACCCATTCTGCGCAATACAATCGCCGATCTCAGAGCCCACGCGTCGCCTCGGAAAGTCGATCTGGCGCAAGGCGATCTGGCTGAACCGGGAAACGGAACAGGGTTCGAGTCGCGTGGCATTCAGCTTGTCCGTAGCTCATTGTCGGTAATCGTGCAGGCTGTTTGCTCGAGTTCTTCGAAGAATAATCGTTTTCCCAATTCGTCACGGCCCAAAACCGGTACCGTTGCGCAAACACCAGTCGTTCGTTTACCAAACAACGGTCTGTTCGCATTCTACCTGTAGAAAAAAAGACGACTCTTTATCAGATGTGTTAACGATAATCGTCATTTGGTTCGATCTGCAGGGACGAGCTGGCAGTAACGTTAGCAGCCATCGAGGCTGAGAGGAGAGGCAGATCGGCCTCTGTACAGAAGCCTCCCAGGTCGTTACAGGCTGAGATGGAGTGCGAGGAGAGCGGAAGCTCGTTGGGGGAACAAGAGGACCTTCGAAGCGAAGTGGCCAGAGCGGCGAAACGGTTGAAGGAGCTCTGCGTTCACCTGAGGCGGGGGGAGGACGATTCAGGGTTGCAGAGCGACTGCGACGAGTCCATGCTCGTGATCAACACCACTGAAGAGGTGACCACCAACGGTCAGGAGACTCTATCCAGCGCGGTAAGAGACTCCACGTAATACACTCTCCCCTTTGTTCGTCGACTTCCGGTTTCCGGCTTCGGAGCACCTCTCGAGTGCCCACGGTGTGTACCACGACGAACGTGCTCGGCCAACTGATCGGAGCAAAGAGATCGTAGATAGCGAATCGAGCGGGACCGGTGCTACCAGACAATCGTCTCTACGATGTGCTTCGTTCTTGTGTTTGCCAGCCGTATTTACGCGACCGCTTTCGTTTGGCGCACTTGGTAGCTAGTTTTTTTGAGTTGGTTCGGTGCTCCTTAAACGGTTCGATTTGCTGGGCTGGTATTGTTAACTGCGATGAATGAATATCATGAATGGAGCCCTCTGTGTGCTAACTGCACTTGTCTCGATAATACAGTCGACAGCAAATTGAACTGTGCGAGGAGTATTGATAAGATAACTCTAATGACTCTGAACAAGTCTAATGACTTTGAGTTGGCATCAGTGTAAGAACCTGGAAACAGGTGTCATTCGCCGAACGGGGTCTTTTTAAACCACCATTTTTGGAATCTTCCGGTTCTAGAGCCTTATTATCCGAGCCCCATTTAATTCTTCTATCTTCTCATCTATCCTAAACGAGTATGGAGGTCTCTTTCATAGCCATTTTTAATCTCTATATGAATCCTAATTAAGAATCGACATGACTACACATCACGAGCCCTAAGTTTCTAATTCCACTCTATTTCATACATACGTTTAACCAAGCACAGCCTTCAAGTACGTTCTTCTCTTCCTCACAGCCGAACTGTCCCGGCGCTCTACTGGACATCGTGGAGGAGGTGTACAATCTGGCTCTGTCCGGCAGAGGAGCACCAGGCGAGTTGGGCCTGGCGGTCGAGTTGCACAGGGTACGGGAAGAGTTGGAGCACACGAAGGATCAGCTGAAGCAGACACAGGACGAGCTGAAGAGGCGCGGGGAGACTCTGCTGGACATGACCAGCAAGTTGAGCGTGTCCGAAGCGGAATTGCGTGGTGTCAAAGAGGAACGTGACAGAGCTCGCGGCGACATGGAGCACTCGCAGCTGACGAAGGACGAGGTCGTGGCACAGGCATACAAAGTCAGGGACCAGGCGGTTGCCAGGAAGAACAGGGCAGAGGTTGAACTGGCGAAGACGAGAATAGACGTTCTGCAGGCGAACAGCCAACTGATGGAGGCGATTCAACAGAAGATCGAGCTTAGCCAGCAGCTGGAACAGTGGCAAATGGACGTGCAGTTGCTCCTGGACGAGCACGTCCGTAGCAAAATGATGCCTGTTAGGAACACCATCACCGCTTCAAACGCCGAGAACACAGAGATCGTGGCGCCAGCGAGGAAAAAGCGCAGCACCGGCTCCACGAAGAAAATGTTCGGCTTCTTCTGACGAAAGTGATTGCTCACAGGACGTGTGATTAGTCAGGGACGCCGTAGCACGGTGAGAAACGAAGACTGCGCTCGAATGGGGATGTTCTTTCGTGCGTCTCGAAGCGTATCAGGGACCATTCGACCGGTCATCCCTCTCGATTCAGGGACAGACCGGTGGATTCGAATTTATGGCGGTGATTCCGTCGGGATAAACGATTACTGTTTCCACGACTGTTTCTAGGGCGGGGAGTAGTCATCGCGAACCGTTTGTTCGTACCACGTTTTTTTACATGTACTTTTAACGGCGAACAGAACGAACTCTTCTCCCGATAAGAATTTCCGCGGTAGGAATTTTTGTAAATTAACAATCTTCTCCTTGGTAATGGGGGAAGCTTATACCGCGTGTTGTTGTAACGAGTTAGAGTCGGCAGTAATAACGACGTAGGTTTCTTCCTTATGGCGTGAACGAATTGCATCGAGGAAAGAAAGCGACAGTAAACGCGGTCAGCTCGAGCGAGTTAAGAAGGATCGTCCACGGTGAAGCGTGAATGCTTTTGTTTTCCCTTCGCCCGGACGTTCCGAGAACGTCTGGTCATTCCGGTAATCGTGGTACGGCTCATTGCCACGGTGAGAACGATCTCTCAGCGGCATCACGTCGTCAAGATCTCCTCCGGTTCGTCGGGTTCAAGCTTGTTATTACTTCGAGCGAAAAATATGAGAGAGACAGCAGCGGACTTCCTAGTTGTCGTCGGACTAGATTCAGAGCGGCCTAAATACATCGATCCTTTCCCTCGTGTCTGTATATAAACGCGTTTTTCGACAGACTGTTGCCTTACCGGACAGGAATTTCTTTATCCGTTGATTGTGATATATTCTATCCACTGTTACGTTAAACTTCAGGGTTGATCTTGAAACGTTATCGGGTAAATATTAAAAATGAATCATCGAAGAATCAATTGAACGAAATTTTAGCGCAATCGTTATGGCGTTTTTTAAATTGTAAAATTCATCTAAGAGTATTCTAGATGGAATTGTCGACCTCCGTCCGAATCTTTGTCGTTCCGCGCGGACCAGGATGCAATTATAGCTCGATGGCTGCAGAGAAACGGGAGATCGATCCGTTTTCAGCCGCGACCCTACGGCCCTTTTAGGCAACGACAGTGCAATAACGCTAGAGAAATTTCTACGCGAACCGGCCGTGTCGGTCAACCGCGACGATGTTTTCTCGGCGTTCAATTTTCATTACGGTCCGAACGGTTAGCTTTAATTGAACGAACGGTGTTAAGTAACAACGAAGCGGTTGCACGCGGATCATCGACGCGCGGCATTGTCCTTTGTAAATTAGTAGCCGACGAGCGAGCCGCGGCGCCTCGCCGTGATTGTAGGATAGCTGTATAATTCCTGATCTGACAGTGAGCAATTCTGAGCAATTGTGACAACATATTTATTTAATAAAAGTCTGTTTTACGGATGCGTTGTTGAACGACAACTCGAAAATTCGATCCTCGAGGTCTTGCGGGGTTCAGGTTCTTGTGGTTAATACTGTTCGTGATTCTGAATGAGAGCTCGTGTCTCTCTGGAAGAGATTCGTAACAATATTATTGAGTCATCAAAGCTATTTCCTAATATTGGAATTTTAAATATATTATAGTAATATTAGGAAAAAACTAAAGCATTTTCGGGGAAACAGACGTTGGCATTCGGGACAATCGAATAGTATTTTCTGTGTTTACCGTGATTCAACCGATACCATTTTAATTCAATTATTACTGTTTAGTTTTGTACTGATGGTAATAACTCGTTCCTACCCTCTAGATTAAATATATATGTGACAATAATTCTTAAGTATTTAATTTAAGATAGCATAGACCGTTCTTGCATTTACTCTGCATCAGTTGAAATGCTGGTGTAATTGTTGAAGATTCTGTTTATAATTTAAACAGGAGAAAAAATGCAGTTATGTTTCGCTACAGGTCATCCTGTTAAACTTCGTACTAGTCCATTGATATTTGAATCAGGAAGTGAGATATGAGACAAATCAGATACGAAACCTCGCTGAAAGATCGTCGTCAGTCCCAACTGTTGATCTACGATCGTGTTATCGCTATATCCCGAAATTAATTTCTCGACGATATAATGAAAATTGCTGAATTCTCTAAGTCACGATCGATATCCAATCAGAGTATACAATAACAACGAGCTTGAAAAGAAACAAATAGGCATTTATTCACAAGAGGCAGGTGTAGTTACAGTAGTTTCATTCTGTCGCTTTTATATATATATATATATATATTTATATATATATATAATAGTATCTCACGTTTGTTATAATTATCGATCGGTCCAACTACGCAATATAAATGGGCATGAACAATGGGGGAGGGGGCGGGTGCATACAAAGTGTTTTCATTTTTTTTTGTCCTTTCGTACGCTCTAAAAAACGACGTCGTTACGAAACGCGTCGCTCGGATATTAATCTTCTCGCTGGTTAGAATTTCTTTTCTTCTCTTTCTCGTCTCGCGAGAAGCAAGATTCTATTCTAATAAAAGAAACAACAGAAAAACAAAAAGGGATTCCTCTATCATGAATAGAACTTCGTTGGCCGCTTCCCGGCAACGACGTTTCCGTGCGGTACACGTCGACTGAAAAATAGTCGACGGTATATACTCGTTTATCGTTCTCTATGCGTCTTTTTTTCTTAAATATTTTTCAAATAGTCTTTCGATCACGCGATAGTTTCAAAGGCGATCGTCGCGCGAACAACATTGGTTTCCCCTCTACATCTCCTCTTATCCTTGTAAATCGGCGTGTAGTCGATGCTATTTAACAATACTTATTCGAAATATTTTGACCGATACGGCGACTGGACTGGGCGATTTTCCACGCTGGTTTTCCTTCCATCGCCGTCTTATTAACGCGACCGGCAATGAACTTTGACGAACAACAATAGAATTAACAATGATCGATGGTAGCGTGATGAATCAGATTAATTAAACGAGATGACGCGGAAACGTTTACGTTTTCTTCTTCTTCTTCTTTGTCTTGTTCTTCTTGTGTCGTCGAGACAATCGAGTCGAGTATTGTTTAATTGCCATAAGGCATAAGGTATAGAGAGAGAGAGAGAGAGAGAGAGAGA